AGCAGAAAGTGGCCCGGATTTCGGTGTCGGGCCAGTAGTCCCGTACGGATCAGTTCGCTGATGTTGTTGTCGTTGAAACTGTACTCATTCTTCAACACATCCGACGATATTTGTGTCGACGACTTCTCCGTCAGTACTTTCTTCAAAAATCTCTCTTAAATACCGACAAAAATATCGCATTAAATATGAATAACATATAAATGGAGACCAAAAATACCGGTTATAATAGTTTTGGGGACAAACTTATGGACGTAGTCCTGAAAGTCGGACATCAATATAATGACCACTTCGTTATCATCGATAGTTGATCCCAATCTGAAGAGCCGTATGTAAGCCGATTCGGACCACGTATTCTGCGATTACAACACATGCGATAAGAGATTAACAGATAATGAGTGACAATGAATGGTGTGTTTGAAATGTCAAACCAATTGGCGATCGATGAGTGTCTTGTTGTGGAAGAGAGGATACAATTGATGTCTCCAAACAATGGTTGGTATCCTTTGGCCAAACTTTTCGGTCGGGAATAATGACCGCAAATATTCGTACGCTTTGTGGACATCACTGAACGATGGCTTGTCTTCGGGAGTAATCAAATGCAAAGTGTATTAAACAGCCATTTGTTGTGACAATTGATGGTATGATTGATAATACCATTGAATAAAGTTTTGGACCTTTTATTCAAATCTTCGTCAGAATTGTCTTCAAATTGTTGTTTCCTTTTGCCTGAACTCATCACTACATCACTGCTCCTACTCTTCATATATACTGTTACCAAATGTCATGCATTTTATGAAACCCTCACTTTTGATGCAAAAATCAATGATTTCAATAACTTTTTATGATTTGATATCAGATTAAAGAATTATATAATAAAATGTAATTTAATTAAAAGTGCAAATTGTAAGCATATGTGTACTGATTGTAACATGTGTTTGATTTGGTATTAATGTTTTGAGTTGATTGTAAAGTGAATGATGCGGACAATGATAAGAGAAAGTGGCCATGCTCATTTACAAGTGTTAATCATGTCTATGATTATTGTTCTTCGAAAGAACGTGATTTAAATGTATGGATACTAATATGTGGTCATATATTCACAATAAATTAACTTATTTTATAAGTAAATCTTTGGCAAATAGTTTTGAATATATTTAACATTTAAACCCAAATAACAAAACTAAGCACTATTTGAATATAGTTTTTATTGAATTAATTAATTGTTATTTAAGAATATATAATTAGATAGTTTCTTTTATATCATAATTTGTAACCTCAATTCAATATGAAAATTGATTTATAAGATCAATCACCTCATTATTTATGTAACATAATAAAAGAATAATATACTATAAATTTGAATAAAGCAGTGAATCCTCTATTTAATAGAGCCTATTAAAGGGTTGGCGTAGAAATGCCAAAAGTAAACTTAAAATAATAAAACTTTTTAATATCAAAATTACATTTTAAAGTTTAAATTAAAAATTAGTAATAATTCAGGTATATTTAAATTATAAACTCAAAGTCAACCATGTAACAAGCCATGTAAAAAATAAACAAGTAACAATTAGTTTGACATTTCCGTAATGTTAACAAACTTAAAATTTTAATCAAAATTGTGAATTTAAACATGGTGTATGTTTAAAAAAGAGTGCCTAGCTTTAAATAAGAATAATAAACTTTATATAGTAGTATATTGAATACTAACTTGTTGTATTAAATGATAATAAAAATGGTAAATTTTAAATAATTTTCAATAAAATTAATTATATTAAAACATAATTACAAATAAAATGTCATTCTTTAGTAACATTAATGTGATTTCTCTTACACTACATCTATTTCATCGCATTGTTTGATCTTTTTAAAAATATTTGCTAATTCATTGAGTTATTAGTGCAAAACGTTGTTTTATTAATGACAATAGTTAAAAATACTGTAGTTTAACCATGTTTATAACTCATAAATGATACTTTATGTTCATTTCCTTATATAACACGAACGCATTGAATAGAATATTCTTTAAATGAATTATTCATTGCATTAAATATTGTCTTTTTGTTCAATTCACGAATGGGTTTTAAATTAAAACTTTTAATTATAACCATAAGTACTGTATATTCAATAATTATTAAAGATATAAAAATAAATATTAATTATAAAGAATAGATTGGATGTATTGTATGGATTGAATGTTTGAGAAAAGATACAGTTGTAGTGTTTGGGCAATAGTTTGTGGCATAAGTTATAAGTTTTTGTGGCAAAGATTGAGAGAAAATAATTGTTAAGAATTGAGGCAAAAGTGAATGATTTGTTTATTTGA